CTTTGTGACTGTTGTCATTGCCCCAGGATAACACTGTCTGGTCGCCATACATCTTCTGTAGTTCAGACTGCCTGTGCCATAAGCTAATGTTCTCCAGCCCCAGCTGAGTGCTCTTTGTAGCTCTTGGGGTAAGAGATGTGAAGCCAAAGGAAGTTAGAGCTCACAGAGCGGCAGCTCCACAGCACTGGCAGAAGTTCTTTGAGGACAGCTTTGCAGAGTAGCTGTTTCTTGTACCTGCAAGGTGGTAATACTAAAGTTGTAATTTTTTTTTTTTTTATATAGGTCAGTAATGATATTTCAGTTCAAGCGTACCAGGTAGGTGAGAGGGATGCATGATTCCTAACCTGCACCTTGAGTGTTTGGGAATTACTTTATTTTAAAGTAATGTTTTTCAGTGGATAGTGGCAGATTGAGGGGTTTTTAGTTGCTAGGTTTGCAACTATTTATACAAATTGGAAGCAAGTTTAGAGAAGACTGTCTCTTGATATAACTTTCTCCTTAATTCTACTATTCTCACTGGCTCTTTAACTTTTGCTACAAAAAGTTTTAAAGCCTTGCTTGGTAGAATAGCTTTTACCTTTGCCGCATTGCTTAAATAAAAAGTTTTCCATTTAATTGTTGTCTCTGTTTTCTGAATTAAAACCTTACAGCTTGTGTTCATTCTTGGGGAACTACTTGCTTTCACCTGTTAAAGGTCCCTAGATTTTTAGATCATTATAGTCATCAGAGATGTTGATGGGAACATGGTGATGGATTTTAATCTGGAGCAGGGTGTCACTATCACAAAATTTCTGTGGTGTTCAGTTGTAGTATCATTTGATGATATCTGTGCTTTCAAACTTTATGTATTATGCCAACTGCTTGGATGTTGATGAGATGTTACGTCCATGCCCGTATCCTGGTCCTGCTCACCCAAATTTAACACTACTTAGTGCAGCTGACTGAAGAAATGCTGTAGAATTTTAGCCAGCAGTCAATCTAGTTAGATCCCTTAACTTTATTTCCATCTGCCTTCATAATAAATCTAGAGATTATTTAATAAGGTCATTCTGTCTACAGATCTTCAACAATCAGCATATTCGTTTTGCTAAAATACTAAATACTTTTTATCGTTAGAAGGTGAAAAGTGAAGGTGGATTTTCTGTCAGTCATAGACTTGAGTGATACATGGTAAGTCTTCAAAGATCACCTTTCCCTAATAGAACTGAATCAAACTATTTTTGTGATTGAGTGAAAAATGCTGTATGCAAGTTATGTAACTAGACAAAATTTAGAGTTTTCGTTTAAGGGATGTTGTGCTCACTTTTTTGAAGTTATTTTGTGCTACAATTAAAAGTGGAAATGGTGTAGAGAGGAATACAAATGGAATGTCACAGCAAGCTCTACTGTACCATGGATCCCTTGGTTCTGAGTCCTTGTAGACAGCAGTTGAATTGGGGGATGGCAAAAGCAATGAAGGGGATGGCAAAAGCAATGAAATCTCTTCTGAAGGCAAGCTGCTGGTAGGCCTTTAAGGAGAAATTGCTGCAGTTCTAGAAGGCAATTTTTTTTTTCTTATGTATTCTGTAGTTCCGCAACTGCTCTTAGCATTCTCCTCTTTGATCTTTTCGTTGCATCATGTGTTCCAGGCATGCCTTTGTTTTTCCTTGTCTCTTTATTTCATAGCTTAAAGCTAATCTATAAGTAAAAGCAGGTGGGAATTGGTTTTTCTTTAGGTTGTCCTGTAGGTTGTAACAAGAGATTTAAGGGGGAAATGGATTTCTGGTAACGAAGCCACACCAGAGTCACAATAGCATTATAATTTTTCTTTGAAAAGTAGTTTAATATTACTTTACAACACATTTTTCAGTGAAGTATCAAAAAATTCCCTGAAATCTCTCAAGACATGGTTGATATTGTATATAGAGCTGCAGCCTGTGCACTTCTGCTGAAGATCAGAGCTATAGGATTAAAGGAGCTCTCAGTTATTTGTCCTTGGATAGTTCTTTACTGAGAAACTCTAACTTCTGTCAAAGGGAGGGAGGGAGTTTTTTCTGATGGAAAGTCTTTCCTTGCTCTCGGCTTACGCTGTTTTATATAGCTGCTTTGTTTTCCTGTGAGCCTTTAGATGCTGTTACTCCCAAAGGAGAAGTAAACAATCATTTTCTTTTATTGGTGTGCAGTGGTGTCTCTGTCTTCTGGACAGTCTTTGAAAACAACCGTATTGGAAGCCGTTGTGAGCAAAACAATAAGGAAAGCACTGGGAAACGAAGCAGTCACAAACTCCACTACAAGCATAAGCCTGAGGTCAGGTCCCAAACCAACAGCACCCACAGAAGCAGTCCTCTGTAGTTCCTCACCATCTCCCGATGGCTCGCTGATGAATCCCTGTTTCCTGTGCGGTCCGGCCGTGCTGCTGCAGGGCTGGTGGTAGGAGGTTTCGCTGGTGTGGGCAGTCTCCAGCACTCTCTTCCTTTGAGCCTGTCTGGGATGCTTTTGAGTTGTCTTAGTGTTATAATTTGGGATTTTTTTGGGTAATGGTTAGTATATATTGTTCCATTCCACTGTGTGAAATGATATTGTTTAATGTTGCTTGACTGGAAACAACGTGAACAAAAATGTTAGGAAACCAGGCCTTTCACCTGAGCATTACTAGCTAAATATTGATCCAGCATGGAAGAAAACAGAAGGTTTTCCTCTCTTGGCTACTGTGTAAGTGATGCAGGATATTTGGACTAACATAGTTCTGTTTCTGGTTTAACAAAACAAAAATCAGAATGCTGAAAGAGGTGTTGCAGTCAGTAACCATTGGCATTTTCACTGGAAATTGTAAGACAGAAGTCCATGGCATACTAGACTGCAAAAATTTGGAGTTCAGTAACAATATTGTATTTGAAAATCCATTTTTTTGGGGGGGCTTTTGGTGTTGTGTTGGTGTGTTGTTTTTTGTTTTCTTCTCCTTAATAGGTCCATAGAAGCAAGAATGAGGTTATCTTTCGCTCCACAGAAATAAGTGTGCTTGCTCACTGTCATTTGTTTTGTTGTCAGACAACTTTATTCCTTTCCCAGGAGCCCCACTGCAGCCTAAGGTACGATTCCTTTCTTCCAGCAGTTAGAGACCATTCTTCTAATATTAGGGTACTCTTCAAGGCTTCATAGTTCCTGAAATTCAAATTGCTTGGCATTTTCGCTGTCTGTAGAACAGTCATGTGAGCCATACTAAGTGCTTCAAACTGTCCAAGATCCACAGCCATAGCCAGGTTGCTCTTAGTGCATGGGCACTGGTTTGCTGTCACTTAAAGGACGTGCTGAACGCTCAAAGCTGTACTTGGTCCAGGCTTAGCTGTTTGCTTTAGCAGCTGGGGCTCGCTTGCTAGTCACAAGTGCTCCATGAGAGTGTATGGAAAAACTACTCAAGACTCCTACAGTAATTGCTGACTTCTCTACCTCTCCCTAGCATTACTTTCTGTAGCTATTTTGTGAATATTCCATTTTACAGTTACTATGTCAGTGACGTGGTGGACTTCATAGAAGGATTGCCAAAGCAGTCGCCAGTTACTTTACACATACAATGCAAATGTCCAGCCAAGATATGTAACCTCAAACGTCGCTGCTTGCTGGCTTTGACTGCTGTTCTGTCCTTGCATCACTGTTTCTGATTCTAGGTCATAAGCTGTGCTTTTCCTTGTGCTCTCATTCCATAAGAGGCCTCCTGTTAAAATAAAGCTGGATGTTAGAAAAGTTCCTCCTTAGCCAGTTTGTCCCTTTGAGGTCTGCTATGTTCCAGCTGCTCTGGGTACTGTGAGGAGCTATGTTCTGACAAATTACTTGTTTGCTGTAGTTCAAGTCATTTCTCAGTATTTTTCCCTTCATGTAGGACTGGAATCATTTGTGAACACAGTGAAAAGCCAACAGCAGCAAAGCCAGTATGTCTCGTGAGCATTCCTTTCTCTGTCAAACCCAAAGAGCTTATATGAGCCAATGCAAACAAATAGTAGTGAAAAGAGAGAAATGCATGAAAGCAGAGTGCAGCAGTTGAGAATCCAAAGTTCCCTGAGGAGATGCTGGGCACTGCTGCTCCAAGTGAGAACAAGAACTGCAGCCTTGTAACGTGCTAGGAGCTGGTCATTGCCACCTAACCAAATACATATCTTTATATGGACACTATTCAAACACATACTGTAGGTCTGCCTTAGGATAACATGTTATAAAGGTTTAACACTTCATACCTGGGGGTGTCAGTGCAATTTGCAAGCATGAAGTGATTAAATTCAGCAGTGCCCAAAGGATCTTCTGTGTGTTAGGCTGTGAGAGGACATCAAAAGGTGAAACCATGTCCTAAAGATCATGTTATAACTGGAGAATATAGGAACTGCATCCTAAATTTTTTTATTACCAACTTGATGTTTTTACTATGAATTTTCACTTGATAATGTTCATCCCTGAGCACCTTACTGTCTCATTGACTTGAGGGCACTTTCAGGCAATAAGAATCTTTTGACTCTTAGAAGAGATTGAATTATGTCTCAAGAAGGGAAAGTGTTCTAAAGATCTCAGTGAGGACAACAGAATTCTAGTCCACACAAAGCAACGACAAGCAGAGAGAAAAACCCACCAACCTTACCACGTGTTTCTGGTGGGTGGCGTGTGGCCAGCCGCATGATTTAACTGCATCCTTACAGCCTGAAGCTTTGGGGTTTGTCTCGGAAGTAACCCCAACAGAACCCGCCTGCTCGTTTCGGACTGCTGCGTTCAGACTCCCTCTAGTGATGGGTTTAAAAATGACAACGTGATCGCGGAGCTTAAAACAGAAAAACGGGTCCGAACTACAAATACCAGCAGCTCTCGGCACAGCTGACAGAGGACCCAGGACACACCTCTCAGTTTTATTCTAGCAAATATTTCTAAAGATTTTTATTTTTCATGCATAACTATATATTTTCCAAGGGAAACAAAGCGTTTTGAAACGTTAGCCCTGGATTTGCCTTTTTGTTTTTCTGCTATTTTTTTTGTTTGGTGGGTGGCCCTTTCTACCTCATAGCAGAGTGACAGTGAAAGAAGGACCCAAACCTTTAATCTTGTTTTGCAGTGGATTAGCAGAAAGCTGCTGCGACAGCCTGGAAATTACCATGGAGAAAATCCTGAAAGCAGAATTGAAAACTTCTGTTCTGAAGGCATTTGGAAGCTCCGGAGGAGGATACATTAGCCAAGGACAAGGTTATGAAACAGACAGTGGGCGAGTGTTTGTTAAAATCAACCATAAATCTCAGGTTAATACTAGCAGATATTTAACTACTGGTATTATTGCATGTAGAGAGCTCTTTATTTTGAAAGCACCTGATAATAATTTAGAGTTCTGCATTTTCAGACTGATTCTATTGTTCCAGTTTTCCTTTCAGTTTTCTTTTAAAAGCTGTAGTCTATTTTCTAACAAGTACTAACGGAGTAGGTTTGGTTAATGCAAAACAGGGTGTCGTGCAATGTGATAATCAAGAGCAGGAATTGACATAGCAATAAGTAAGGAGGAGAGTAGGTACAGAGCTGTTACTGTAGCACTTGGAGTCTGGAAAAGCCTAAAGCTGAATTTGCATCTATGCCTTCCCTTTCATGTTTCAGCTGGGAGGATTGAATAGTGGAAGGGAGGAAACTATGCCAGTGCTAAACTTGTGTATTATTTTTAAAGCTACAGGTTTCAAACCTCCCCACTGTTTTTTTTGTATCTCTAGCAGTAAGATCCTTGCAATTTTTAAGGCCAAGCTCTTGACTTTTCTATAGCTAAATGAATACTCGGTGGCTTTCTTGTAACATCACAGTGCATCAGAAAACTGCTTTATCAATATGAAAACCATCCTAAAGCTTCTGTGAACAGTATCTTTACTTCAAAAACACAGAGTACAGGCTTAATATCTGTAGTGTCGTTTCCATCTGGTGGCTGTTGGCCTGAGTGGAAAGGAGAAACAGTTCAAGGGTTCAGTCCTTTACCACTTCATATAGTAGTGGTCACCTGTGGTTTTGAAGGTGAGGTCTTGGGTGTTACCCTCAGAGACACTGTTATGCCCGAGAAGCTTGGTATCTCCATAAGCCTTGAAAGTCATGGTGAAATGGGACATATTCTACTAGCCTGGAATGAATTTGGGGGAAAAAAAAAAAAGTTAGAATTAAGGTACTCAAGTCTCCCTGTGTGAACTGAAATCTTCCCGCAGCTACATTCTTTTATCAGGATGAATTAACTCCTCATAACTTTTTAAACCAGGCTGTTTATTCCAAAACAGTTGTTGTAGACGTCCATAGTTTAGCCCAAGGATATTCTTATTCCTTGACAGGCTAGAAAAATGTTTGAAGGGGAAATGGCAAGTTTGGAAGCTATTCAGAAAACCAATATTGTGAAAGTGCCTCAGCCTATTAAAGTGATTGACCTACCTGGAGGAGGAGCAATGTTTGTCATGGAGTACCTAAAGATGAAGCACCTCAGCAAGTATGTCTGTACATCTCTTTATCTTTTTACTATCTTTTGGGGAATATTTTCTTGTATCTTACAGTCAGTCAGAAAACTTCATGACAAGAACCTGTCTATTCTCTCAGACCTTCCATCTGTCACAATCCATGTTTGTGTATGTGTACATATTAAAAATATAAGTGTGTATATGTGTGAGTACACTCCTTCCCCATAGTTTGCTCTTCCCTTCCCTCTGCCTGCAGTGCTGTTGCTAGCCTAGAGCTTTTTATGCTGCTCCACATGCACTGAGACTCTACCAAAGTGAATGTGGTAATAGCCGAGTTTAGCCAATCTTTCCATCATGAGATTTTTTTTTTATTTTGGTTTCTTTTCCCAGGTTATCAACATTCTTTAAACTTAAAGGATTCTTGTGTCTGTGAAACTTCTACTTCTTTGAGTAAAATCTTCAAGTATGATTGAAGTCAGTCAACAAAGTCAAAGGCACTAGGGTGAGGAAGAATTAAATGGATAGATAACATGAAATTCCATTTTGTCTTAGCCAGCCTGAACATGAAATCCAAGTGTCCCAGGCTCCTGAACATTGGCTGTTAGGAGTTAACTGCTTTGTTCTGGGCCTCTATGAGGACGTAGTAATGCCTGTGGCTCTTCTGGCCATAGTTTGTCCAACTTTTTTATTTTTTATTGGGAGAATAATGGCAGTTCCACAGCCTAGCCACACAGCCCATTCCAATCCATCCTGTTGTTCCTAAAAAAGATTTTCTAATGTCTAACCTCAGTCTTGGTTACAATTTTAAACCCTTTATTTTCTACTCATTCTGAGCACAGAGGAAAAATTAGTTTCCTTGCAGCTCCTGTTCAGATATCTGTGCAAGATTTTAACTGTTTTCTAGTCACCTGTATTCTGCAGCAAGCAACCTCAGCTCAATCCTTGCTTATGGCATCTTTTCAGCCTTACCATTCTTAGTCTTAGTCCAGCTGATATTGAAGGTCTCTGCTTGGTTATGTGGAGCTGATCCTCCTGTACTGTGCTCCTGTTGATACAACCCTGTGTTCTGTTTACCTTTCTTGCTAGAGCATTGGCTTAAGTTCATTTTATTATCTGTTACAACCTGTTTCTTCAGAGTTGTTGTCTAGTCATTTGCTCCCTGCTATGTACTTGTGAAGTTGATTAAGGTTTATTTGCCAAAGATACACTTGGTCATATTTAATTGAGTTTTTTCCCCTGTAATATTTCATTCATTCGTCTTGTTTCAGTTTCATTTTGTTTTTTAATCCTACAGATACTCTTCAAAGCTTGGAGAGCAGATAGCAGATCTTCATCTTTATAACCAGAAACTTGGAGAGAAATTGAGAAAGGAGGAAAACACAATTGGTAATTGGTATCATGTACTAAACCAGAAGTGAAATAATTCGTTTGGCTGTGGTGCCATATTGCATTATAATTTTAATGATCATTGAAATCACTACTGGGACCTGGTTTTATGAGATGTCCCTTCTGTCCCTATGCCACACTTCCCAAATGTACATTATACACACAGGAGCTACAGATATGGTTGGAATTTTTAAGCTTGTTGTTTTAACCTCAACAAAAATAAATTAATTTGGTTTTTACTATTCATTTTTAAATATACTTTGTTGTATAAATTATACGAATATTGAAATTTAGTAAGAAACAGTGTTAATATTTTATAAGTTTTCAACATTTCCTACTGTCAAACTGAAAATCTGGACTAGTTGCCTTTTTCAGTGTCAGTTAAACCTTTCAGCCTCATGTACCATCCAACTCTAAATGTTCTTGATCTTATGGACACTGTTTTGTTTATTGTTGGTTTAGGCAATTACCTCATTCCAGAATATGGTGCCAGTTAGTAAACACATAAATGAGTTCCTCTTTAGAGATGTTGGGGATTACATTTAACAACTTGAATATGTAGCAAAATACACAACAGTTGCTGCTCAGTGAAGACCATTGGAATCCAGCAGTGTAAGACCACGATGCAGTTTCTATTGACTTCAAAGAAAACACTTTCCATCGTTCTTGGGAAAGTGCATTAAGGCATAAATGAAAAACGGATGCCCTACAAATAATGATGCTTTTAGAGTTATTTATCAGTGTCTTTCCCATGGCGTCAGGGATGGACCAGGTTCAGCTCTTAGTGGTGGACATATTATAATCCCTTATTTTTGAGTGAAGGCCAGATGATTGGCAGGTCACAAATAATCTATTAATCAAAATTAAGCCATGTTTAATGATAACATGTTAAAGGATCAGAACAGCAGATTGTGAATCTGGTATCTGGACTCTGCTCCTGAATGTTTAACTCTATTGTCCAAAAAAAAGTCACTAACTTTGACTAATTGTGCCTCCATTTCCAGCCAGTATCTGCAAGTTTATGAGAGTTCTTTCCATCTTAAAAAAGGGTTGTGACCATGAAATAAGTGTAACTTATTGCTTAAAATTATGTTGTGTACCTATTCTCTGAAACTGAGTTCTGTGTTTGCAGACTGTACTATGCAAGGCTGTCAAAACTCCTGATATTTGTTTCTTAGGTAAAGGGGCAGCTCGCTCTGAGTCTCAGTATGTGGATAAGTTTGGATTCCATAAGGCCACTTGCTGTGGTTACATTCCGCAGGTACGTTCCGTGCCTGAAAACACCAATGTGTGCTCATTCAGTTCAATAAACTTCTTACACAGAAGCTTCTTTCTTTGGCCTGCAGTTTTCTGACCGCAGTTTTGCTTTCACAATTTTGTTCTGATGTGACAGGGAAGGGACCACGGTGGCTGCTCAGTGTGTGGCTTGCTACAATGCAGGGAGCAAGCAGACACAGTGGGTCGAATAAGAATTTGAAGTTGTGGTGGTTCTTTACCTTAGTGATAATTAATAAAATAGGTATCCCTTCACACGCCATGTCTTGGTTTTGGTTTTTTTCTAAATCCTGGCTATATGGATCTCAAATGGCAAACCCTACTGCTTTTATCAGTCTCTACACATGGCAGAATTTCATTCTGCTGTTGAACTGAATGAACTTTCAATATCTCAAACTTTTTGCTAAGTACAACTTTTCACCACATTAGAAACACATTACCTGGTAAAAATGAATGAGTATTTGTGCATTTCCACATTTTGGAATATAACATTCAACAGCTGAAATGATCTTATGAGACTTTCCCTCTAAAACACATCAAGAAAATCTGAATGAATGAAAATAGCCAGAATCTCGTGTTTAAAAACAGCCCCACCTAAGCATGGAAGAGATCATCGCTCCCAAAAGAACAATCAAGGGAATGTCTAAGAACATTGCACCTAGGTCATACTAGTGTTGTCTAGGCCATCGTGTCAGCGTCGAATATTTTCACTTGATATCTCTGTATTATTAATACCATGTATATGTTAAAATTATTACAAACCTCTGTATCATTATCTAGGTGAATGAATGGCAGAGTGATTGGCCTTCTTTCTTTATTCGTCACCGACTCCAAGCTCAGCTGGATTTGATTGAAAAAGATTATGGAGACAGAGAAGCCAGAGAACTTTGGTCACAGCTAAAAGTACGAACCATGTTTTAAATCTGGTTTTTAGAATGTTAGAAAATGTCTATCAGTGGAATTTTACAGGTATTTTTTAAGAAGTTTTTAGATAGCTTTTAATGAACAGCAACTGGACGAGCTTCACAGCTGGTCCAACAACACTGTCAGCTGAAAAGAATTCACACTGCTCTTTCATTTTTTTTTATAGATAATGAAAACAAACCTGTAATTCAGCAGTGACGTTCACTGTCAGAATACAGCTAATAATAAGGCTGTAGATGCTATCTGAGGCCTTGGTGTTACAGAGCAGGTAATTTAGTGGGCCCAGGCTCACAGCCGAGGCTGTGGTTCAGCTCCTGCTCCATGCTGGACTGTGCTCCTCTGCAAGCCTCACAGCACAACCTTGTTCCTTGATTCTGGTTAATTGGTACAGAGATTTACTCCTGACCTTTGTGCCTCTGAAACCTTTTAATGGAAATTAAATTTATTTTATATTTCTTGTGACTATTCATGTCTAGAAGCAGTATGTTCATACTAGATGCTGGTACTAGACTGTGAGTTCACAGAGCTTAGCAAGTCACTTAAGAACAATCAAGAACATTTATTATTGGCTTACAGTTTAGATTTATGGTTGTAACCATCAGCTTCAAAAGCGCTCCATGAGGACTGAAAACAAGCAGCATTTCACCAGCTTAATCTCTTATGTACTGCAGCACTTTTATTTAAAGTTTTCTTTAAAAAATCTTTAATCATTATGTGTTTGTTCATACATTTTCAGCCAAAGATTCCTGAAATGTTCTGTGATGTGGAAATTGTTCCTGCTCTCCTGCACGGGGACCTGTGGGCAGGAAATGTGGCTGAAGACGACTCTGGGCCAATTATCTTTGACCCTGCCTCCTTCTATGGCCATTCAGAATTTGAACTGGCCATTGCTGGAATGTTTGGTGGGTTTAGCAGCTGCTTTTTTTCTGCCTATCACAGTAAAATACCCAAAGCTCCAGGATTTGAGAAACGAATCAAATTGTATCAGCTCTTTAATTATATAAACCACTGGAACCATTTTGGGACGGGGTACAGAGGATCTACCCTAAATGTAATGAGGAAACTTCTGAAGTGACCAGAGAGGTTTGAGAAATTCTGACATAGTCCTTTAGTAACAAACAGCCCCTGCTTATCAGATGTAACACAAACTAGGAATTAATAGTGGAATTAATTGATGGTAAAACACCTGACAGGTAAAAAGCTTCGTATGCTTTTGAGCCTCACTAAATGTTAAGAGTGATTGTGTGATTTTCAACTTACACGCTAGTTTCCCAGTACAGTCACACCTTGCTGAAGCAAAAGGCTGCATTGTTTGGGAAGATTCCACTGGGCTGGAAGTCGTGTGCTGCTCAGCCTCACCTTGCTCTCTGTAGAGTCTCATGTCACAGCTGCTGTGATTCCACAGTGGTGTCTGGCCACTTCTGATCTGCTCCAGCAGGAGTTCCTTGCTGAGAGCTCCTCGGTAAGGAACTGTGGTGCTAGAAGTAAGAACTAGTTCCTTATGACTCCCCTTTTTTGTTCTGTTTTACTTTTCTGTCTCTGTTTCCATCCCTTTTCCCATTTATATTTCTGTTGTCTTTCTCATGTTAAGTTTACCAATCAGAAGTTTAAATCAGATTCTATGAATCCAAAAAATTCTTTTTGGTTTAAAGAGTGGACAAGGCCCTTTGGCAAGCACTTGGCAAGCATATATAGTTTATATATATAATATTTTAATTTAATGTATTTTACTTTTTTTTCTCTTGCTCTGAGAAATTAATTTACAGTGATAATTTGTAACAGGATGTCTCTGTAGTTCCTTGGTAATTAACTATATGGTCAGAGTGTGGGTTGTTACCACACAAGTTTAAGAATAACATACAATAGTTTTAGTAGGGTAATTTAATGTGTTATACTGTGATAGTACCATATTTCAATAACTTTGTTTACAGATAGCAAGAAGTGAGAGGGAGGCTTAGTGCTCTGATGCAAGAAGGCATCTGTTGGTGGTGCTTGATGTACTTTCAGTTTTAGAAAGTAAGGTCTAGTAGGCAAAGCTGATCTGTTCTGCCAGTGCTGGATTCCTGAAGGAACAGTGTCAAACTAGATGGCTTCATCATGGTTTTTAATATTCCTAGCAAATTTATTCTTAGAAAACATAGACAATGAGACTCTGGTGAGAAAACTGTGCAACAAACTCACTGGCAGGGGTGAAGAAAGTAAATAGAAGTGCAGTCCAGCAAATGCTCATGTGAATCAGAATCCTTGAATGAACGAACTCATCTGTTTAGGCTTCACACAGCTGTCATGATTAATACCTAAAATATTATATTCAAACACGCTCATATATGTTTAAGGTTTTTTCAACTTTAAATGGCTGTGCTGCAAAGATTTCATAAAGTTTAAAGTTAGATATTGTAATTGGTAAGATTTTAAAAAATGCATTTTGCTCTCTGTAAATATCATACAAAAGGTTTAAATGTTTTAATTCCTTTGAATTTGGGGTACAATTACAGGAAGTTGTCATGGTGTTGTTATAACAATTATAACAGTGAAAAATGGAATAATAGTTAGAATAGAGTTGAAGTCGTAGCTGACAGGGAAAGGATCCAGGTCTGGGAATACAGCAGAGTGCATGTGTACTTGTATTTACTAACGGTAACAAAACCACACCTGTTACAGGGGAAGGTACATGGGAACTGAAGCTCCTCAAATAAAACATTTGCCTTGTAGAAACTAGGAGTTGGGTGTACCTGTCATTTGCTTTAAGGAATTTGAGCCCAAAGGTAAGATACTTGGGCGTGGAGGGAGTTGCTGGATGCTGGGAAAGAGGTGACCTAACATCCTGACCAGACTGAAGCGTCTCCCCGAATTTCCTTCACAAACAATGGAGAGAAACGAGTACCTCTGAGGGTGACTCATGTCACCCGTTTGTCAGCTGGTCTGATCCTTCAAGATTATTTTCTATGAAGTGAAAAGACAATCTGAAATGACTTTAGTCAATGGCTGGGTTAGACCCTGACTTCAGTTTTCTAAAGCTGGTGATGTACCAAGAGAAAAGTTAGAAAAGTAGTGCAGTTGTCTGGTAAAATAAATGTTCAGTAGGTGGGGGAAAAGAGGAGTGGATAGAGATGCGTTATGTTTTGGGCTGAAGTATGAAAAAAATATCTTCCCGACAAAGCTAACGGGAAAGAACCTGGCACGAGACAGTAACTGCTGCGGGGGCAGGCGTGGGGTCAAGTCTGCCACTTCCTTTCCTTCCCTTTTTCCCTGGAGTTGTAGCTTTCAGCATTCAAGCTCTATTTCCAGACTTTTAGGAGGTTTATCTAAGGAGTTATTTCATTAAGCCCGTAGCTCGGTGCTTGGCGGGGAGGGGGTCAGACGGAGCCGGACGCGGAGACTGGCTCATCCCCTCGCC